CGCGTTCACTTCCTACGCCGAGCCTCTTGCCTTGTCGGCCGAAGCCCCCGATGCATGTCTCGGGAAGGGAGCTCACCCCAAAGCGCCCGTAAATGGCCAAGCGCGAACATCAAACGCACCCCTCGCGCGGTGTGGCCGCGACGGCCTGTCCAGCTGCGCCCGTGCCGTTTCTTGGGGCTCTGCTCACGCGGCGCTGCACCGGCAGCCGGGCGACGCGGGTTCGTGCACTTACGAGATGAGAGGCCACTCTGCGAGAGCGGCGCCCATGCGCCGTACGGCAGCTCCGTGTCGTGTCGACCCTGGCGTTGGCTCCTGACATCGCGGAGATCGTTCAGCCTTGAACCACCAGCCGCTTCCGAAACGTCAGAGCATTCAACATCGATCGACTCTGGGTCGCAGGCGGCGTTCAACGTGGAACGCCAGCGGCGGGGTCGCCGCCGGTCGACACGACGCGAACCTGCCATACCATGTTTGGACTCCTTTGAGGTACCACTGCAGTGCGGCACGGTGCATCGTTTTATGCTCAGAAATCCGAACAACGATGCACCGTGCCATTCCTGGGTCGAGGATTGGCGACGCCTCGGGATATGCCAACGCGGTACGGTGCACGCAAGTCGTCCAACGCGGTACGGTGCATACGGCGCATACGGACACGACGAATGCATTCGTCGTGTTCGTCGTGGGGACCAAGGGCGACGATGAGAACAAGAGACCGTTCCATATTTCTCGGCGACGGCCCAGACTATCCGCTGTGGGGGGGGGGTGCTGGCCGACAACCAATTATTCCCGCTCCAGGCAGCCCCGCGTATGCCCGCGAGCACCAACACTGCGTACCCCCTTCGGACCTGCGAGACCGACAAGGTCAGGCCGTCTGGAAGGGGGGAGGCGGGCGAATGCGATAACGCGCGGGGTATCACTCGCCGTCGCGACGCGGGATCCCTGCGGCGGCGTGAACGTGCACAGAGCAACAGCGCTGGCAGCGCACGCGCGGCGCGGCGCGCGGCCTCCCCCCCCCCCTCGCGGGCCGCTCCTGAGCCGACAAAACACGCGCGGGGGTGACACGCGGGGGCATCCCGCGAGGAGGAAGGCACAGGGAGGCCAACCCGCTCCCTGGACACACGCGCATCGGTGGGGACGCCCGCGGCCCACCCTCCGCGACCGCAGGCGCGCCCCCCGCCCCGGGAGAGGGGCGCGCCGCCATGGAGAAGCGAGCTGGCACGCGTGCAAAGAATGCCGGGGCAACAACGCGGCGGCGCCCGACCTATCTGGGGCGGCTCCGGTCTGGGGCAGGGTCTCACCCCGTATCACAAGGGTGCGCGGTGAGGATGCAGGGTCTAGGTTGGGCATGTCCTCCTGCAGGCGGATTTTGGACGACAAATAAGAACACACAAGGCATGCTCTCGAATGGTCAAAAATAATAGAAGCATCGTCCCCAGACTATTTCCCAACCATCCTGTAGTGTTGGGTACTCGTCTTGAAGAGACGGTCCCCGCGTTCCCTCCTTCTTCCCTCCCTCCTTCCTTCCTCCTCCCTCCTCCTCCTCCTCCTCTTCCTCCTCCTCCTCCTCCTCCTCCTCCTCCTCTTCCCTCCTCCCAGCGTTTGGCCCACCCAGTGCAACGTTTCGTGGCCCCATAGGGAGCTCCACCGAAGGCCCCAGTGACAGTGGCAGGGTCCGCATGCAGTTCCACCTCCATTTAGGTGCACCCCCACACGTTTCGTGGCCCCATAGGGTGCTCCCTCCACCCAAGGCCCCAGTGGCAGGGTCCGCATGCAGCTCCACCCCCTCATTTCGGCGCAACCCTCACACGCTTCGTGGCCCCATAAGGTGCTCCACCCAAGGCCCTAGTGGCAGGGTGCGCATGCAGTTCCACCTCCATTTCGGCGCACCCCTCACACGTCTCGTGGCCCCATGGGGTGCTCCGCCGAAGGCCCCAGTGGCAAGGTCCGCATGCAATTCCACCCCCCCATTGCGGCGCACCCCTCACATTTTTCGCCCGTAAGGTGCTCCACCCAAGGCCCCAGTGGCAGGGTCCGCGTGCAATTCCACCTCAAATTTGGCGCACCCCTCACACGTCTCGTGGCCCCATGGGGTGCTCCACCTAAGGCTCCCGTGGCAGGGTCCGCATGCAGTTCCACCTCCATTTCGGCGCACCACTCGCACGTTTCGCGGCCCCATAGGGTGCTCCACCCAAGGCCCCAGTGGCAGGGTCCACATGCAGTTCCACCTCCATTTCGGCGCACAACTCACACGTTTACCTATAGGGTGCTCCGCCGAAGGCCCTAGTGGCAGGGTCCGCTTGCAGTTCCACCCCCCCATTTCGGCGCACCCCTCGCACGTTCCGCGGCCCCATAGGGTGCTCCACCCAAGGCCCCAGTGGCAGGGTCCGCATGCAGTTCCACCTCGTTTCGGCACACCCCTCACGCGTTTCGTGGCCCCACTTGGTGCTTCATCGAAGGCCCCCGTGGCAGGGTCCGCATACTGTTCCACCTCCATTTCGGCGCACCCCTCACAAGTTTCGTGGCCCCATAGAGTGTTCCAACAAGTGCCCCAGAGGCAGGGTCCGCATGCAGTTCCACCTCCATTTCGGCGCACCCCTTCCACGTTTCGTGGCCCCCAAAGGCCCTAGTGGCAGCGCCCGCATTTCGGCGCACCCCTCACGCGTTTCGTGGCCTCAGATGGGGCTGCACCGACGGCTCCGGTGGCAGCGTCCGCATGCCGTACCCGTGCCAATTTTGGCACACCCGTACCCGTGCCAATTTTGCCATCATGAGTACATGGTGGGTCCTTCGCCAGGATCATTTTTGACTATTTTTACACGTTCGTCCTGTAGGGGGACATGCTCGACTTAATGCAAGGGCCTTGGAGGCCCGTGTGAACGTTTTTTCGAACGAGGTCGACCAGCGAAAATCGCTCAGTATGGGCCGAGGGGGCAAGGATGCAAGGGTACCCTTGGGGAGGTGGCCCATCCATACTATGCGGGTTGACTGTAACTCCAGGTTGGCCCCCCCCGACGCACGAGCCAGGAGTTACCCATGACCACCCCCAACTCCGATGATTTTGGGGTGTGGTTGGACGCCCGAATCCCACCAGCCCTCTAGGGCGTGCGTGGTTTAGGGAATTTCCTTTTTCACCCCCCCTTCTTTCCCTTTGGTAGGAGTTTACCCTTCCCACTGCCCCGTCCCCTGGGACCTGGACAGGGCGTCTCGCAGTGTGTCAAAGCGTCTGGAAAGGCCTCGGCGAGAGGGCCATAATCACGGATTTAGTTAAGTTTTGGCCACAGTTTGGCCCTCTGGTGGGGACGCTTATTGGAACCTCGACCTCCTTTGATCGATCTCCTCCAAGATGGCCCAAGACGGCCCCAAGAGGTGCCCAGGAGGCCCCAAGAGGCCCCCAAGAGGCCCCCCTTCAAGAGGTTCCCAAGAGACCCCCAAGATGCTCGCCCCCCGGAAGCACCCAAGACGTCCCAAGAGGCCCTGGGACTGCCAAGAGACCACCAAGACGCCCTAAGAGGACTCCAAGAAACTCTCGAAAGACATCCGAAGAGACTCTGAGAGGCATCCGAGAGGCCTCTGGCATTTCTGCTCGCCCTCCTCCTCCTCCTGCTGCTCCTCCTCCGATTCCTCCTCCGTCCTCTTCTCTCGGGGTACAACTTCTTACCCAGTCTTCATTCTACTGCATGCTCCTCCACATCCCTGATCAAGATAATCGTCTGGGCATCGTTTCTGGATGGGCTGGTGGGTTTACGCGGAGCGTCTAGAATTATCCTGGACAACTCTGGTCCGGGGCAACTTCGGTTGGGGCCCCCGAGGCACGAATCGGGAGCTACCCCTGACCACCCCTGGCCCTGATGCCCCAAGCCTCTGGAGATCGGCAGCGCGAAGTGCGTCGCAAACGCAGGAAGCAAGCCCACACGCTCGAAATGAGCCCTCTGCCGGCTTTCCTCTCTCACTTCTTGCCGCCGGGAGCGGGCTGGCACGCTCGGAATGATGTTCCAAATGGCACGTTGTTCGATCATGCCGGCACCGCGAAACTACCGAGAAACGAGGGGGCACGCTCGGAGTGGGCTCCTGGCCGGCAGCGCCGGCAACGCGATGTGCGCCAGGAGCGAGCAGTCATGCTGGGAAGCTTGGATCTGACCTCCTGGCATCAACGCTGGCACCGCGAAGGGCACGGGAAGCACTGGGCTCCGGCCAGCACGCTCGAAATCAACTTTCTGCGGGCTTCTCTTTCAAGTCTTCTTCTCCGTCGCTGCAGAACGGCCCCCGCACACTCTCCAACGGACGCCAAGACGGTCATCTGATCCCCCAACGGAGGCCAGGATGACCTCAGGAGAACGAGTGCAGCGATTGGTTCCGAGCCTCGTCGAAGCCGTACCTCTGAACACCCACTGAGTGCGAGCTTAGCGTGCTCGTTACCCTTGGGGGCCTGTCGTGACTCCCGCTCTGTGGGCTCAGTGGAATTCCGGGAATCCAGGACCCCATGGAAGACTGTGCTTCCATGCGATACTTGCGATGTGTGTGACCCACGTGCACGGATAGTATGAATACTACTAACAACCATAGAAACAACACTACAATTATAACAGTACTAATGCGACGCACGCCGCTTGAACATTGGAGCAACGCGAACTCTGGTAGATTGTACACGTGCCGCACCTTACGCATATCAAGCAGCATGATAGCAGTTGAGACGAAAGGGGCCCGCGTCAGAATACACTGTCGTGCAGGCGATGCTGCGTCCTGGTCGCACAGGAATATTCGGATGTACGAAACAAGCAAATGACAGCGATAATGGCACGACTCGTATTTTGAGAGTCCGACTCCCTCACCAGGCCCTGAGTCTTGGCTAACGCAATCGCGAGCCTGGCCTCTTCTCTGCCTAATTCTAACTTCAAAGACTCTTCGTCACCAACGCACGCATCTTGCGTCGTCGGCTTCTCGGTCCGCGTCTGCGTTCCAGCGTTGCACACATGAGCGAGCAGTGTCTGAGTTGCGATGGATCAGGCTGAGCTCAATGGCGAGCAAATCACCCTCACATCCAAAGGGGTCTGGGCGACGAATGTGGTGGGTACTCTATGCGCGAGGTGTTACCCATACTGAGAACGTCAGGAGCGCATCTCCGAGCCAAGGCAAAGATGTACTGAGGTGCTCTGGGGCCCAGAACTCAGAAGCATAGATGGCTACGGTCACGAACTTTTGCTTCGCGTGTCGCGGCGGCCCCCAGCGACACGCTGTGCTCTGCGAGCGGATCGCGTGCCGTTCTCTGATCCGCGGGACGGGAGGCGGGACAAAGCCCGGGACGGTGACGCCTAGGGGGCCAGGAGGTGGTTAGCGTGTCGCGCCGAAGCGCGGTGGGCCAGAGCCGGTGGCGCGACACGCTAAGCAAACGTTCCTGACCGTACACTCTTGCGTACGGTGGGAGAGAGCATTCCATATGGAACGAGGCCCTCAACTGGCGACCTTCGTGTGCACATTGATCTATCAATCTATACATTCACACACAACACACAACACACAACACACAACACACGCAACACACACAGCACACACACAGAGCACACAACACACAACACACAACACACAACACACAACGCACACACAGCACACAGCACACACAAGACACACAACGCACACACACAGCACACAACACATACAACACACAACACACAACACACGACACACAACACACACACAACACACGCACAACACACGCACAACACACAACACACACAACATACACACGCACATACACACACCGGTAACACGAAAGTGCCTCTTCTTTTCCGCTCAGGGTTTCGATTCGCTGAGGTGCTGCAAGACACTTAGACCATCGTTCCAGAAAGCACCCGTCCTGGCAGCTGGACCGACCTGTGCTTGCCTGCTGGGAGGGCAGCTTCTCATTCGCAGGGTTGGACTTTGCACGCCTGGGAGGACCTTGTGCCCGAGCCCTGACGAGTTTTGCCAGGCCTCGGTGGTGTGTGCGCGGGGGGGCGGCGAAGGGGAGGGGAGGGGGAAGGGAAGGGAGTGGGGGGGGAGAGAAGGGTGCTGTAGTTGCTGCTGCTCCCCCCCTCACTTCCAGAAAAAGGCTTCTGGGGATCTCCAGGTGAGGCCTCGGGGGGTTCCGAACAAGGGCCAACACCTCGATCCTCGAACCTCGAGGAGGCGAGGAGGAGAAGGAGGAGTAGCAGGAGGAGGAGGAGGAGGAGGAGGAGGAGGAGGAGGAAGCGGAAGAGGGTAGAGCAAGACAACCCGTAAGCATATACTTTGTCGGATATCCGCGCAGATTTCTTGGGCCAGCGCTGGGCCCTCCCCCCCCAGGCGCGCGGAACGCGCGAGGGGCGGCGCTGGAGGCGCCGCCAAGGGGGTCCCAACGCCGATCCAAGAACTCCGCGCGGACATCCGAGAGGTTACGCAGAAGCCGTTGCTGCTTGAGAGGGAGAAGGAGGATGATGATGATGAGGAGGAGGAGGAGGAAGAGGAGGAGGAGGAGGAGAGGGAGGAGGATGAGGATGAGGAGGAGGAGGAGGAGGATCCGAGGAAACCCAAGATGCACCAACGATGCTGCCATACGCCTTTCGTCCCAAATCCCCTCCTCATAAGTTCCTGCAACCCTTTTCTTCACTGCGACAAAGGCTCCCCCCGCCCCCTGACAGACCAACCCCATGGCCCTGGCGCTCAGATGAGAGCCCCGTTTTGAAAAAGAACTGCCGTGCACCCTTCTATCGGCGGCGCGCCCCAGGGGGAAATGAGAGGGGGCGGGCCTTTGCAGAAGGCCCGGGAATCCCCTGGCCCTCTGAGCAATTTTACAAGCCTTCCCCGAAGACACGGACAACTTCTCAGAAGGCGCCATGACTTCTGAGAGGTACCGCCGCCTTCTGAGAAGGCCTTCTCCTTCTCATTTCCCCCCCTCGCTCGCCGCCGATTCTAGCGAATGGTCAGGAATACGAGCAGGCATGACCATGCAGCTGACCGAGGTGTCCAGCGAACTCACCGTCTTGAGAAAAGGCCGCCCCACATGGGCGCAGCTGGCTTCAAATAAAACCATTCCGGTCATGGACTTCGAGCAAGTCTTAGGCGATGCAGTAGGAGCTCGACCACAAGCCACCTTCCACAAGAAACCCAACCCGAGGACGTCCACTGATTTTTGGTGTGGGAACGTCACGCTTTCCATAGTAAAGCCATCGAGACCCAAGAAACCCAGGGCAGCCTGGGGGCGAGCAGGGTGCCTCGTGGCATGGGTTCCCACTGTGCCACCTTTTCTGCAGGAGGGGTCGCCTTCCATCCATGCAGCTGTTGCGAACGTTCTAGTTTCCGGCCTTCGAATCCTAAGGAGTCCTCGAGCGAAAGCCTGGTTTTAAGTCGGGCGTGCCCCCCTACAGGGGGATGTTCGACGCAAAATAACAAATAGCCCCAAAATAGCCCAACAAGGTCAAAAATAATCAAACATAGTCCCCAGACTATTTTTGACTATTTTTGGGGTATGTTTTATTTTTGGTCGAAAATCCCCCTTGTAGGGGGACAGGCCCGACTTAAACCTGGTTCTGAACTGCACCCCTCTCTATCCCTGTGGCTGTTGCAGGCTTTCGAGGCGGATGTGCGCGGCGCCACGGCGAGAACCCCACTTCTAAAAGGAGCCGCCCTCCATACAGTCTACCCGTATAGGAAGGATTCGCGGTAAGAATGCAAGGGACTTGGGCGCCCATCTCGAAGCTTCTCGAGCGGGGCGCGGCCAACGGAAGTGGCGAAGGATGGACCGAGGAGGCAAGGATGCAAGGGTACCCTTGGGAAAGTTGCCAATCCTTACCATGCGGGTTGACTGTACTTGAAGCTGCTGCAGACGTTGAACAACCAATGTGCGCGGCGCCACAGCGAGAGCCCGATGTTGAAAACCACCAGCTCCATCCCTGTAGCTCTTACAAGCTTAGACGGCGAATGCTCGCGGCGCTGGGGCGAGAGACTAATTTTGCCCCTCCCCCCCCTCCCCTTCCCCCCCACCCCCCCCTTCCGCGCCCCCCCAACCCTTCCCTCCCCCCTTCGATCACACATGTTGAGGAGGTCTCAGGCCAAACGCCAGCCCCGCCCTACTGACACGACTGGGGGCGAGAGGGAGGGAACTATCAGGAAAAAGGATGGAGAAGGAGGAGGAGGAGGAGGCGGAGGAGGAGGAGGACCTGGAGGGCAGCGCTGAGATCAACCCCGATACTCGCATCAAGTCGAGGGGGAGGACTGGGCGAACGAACGTATACCGCTACCGCTATTTCCCGGACCTCTCCTGGGGTGTGCTTCGACGGGCGTCTCCAGGAGAATCCAGCCGTGATGACGAGGACTCCCCAGGACGAGCAGCGGTACCAGCATCTTTTTCCTCCTCTGGAGGATATATCGACCCTCAAGCCAGGGTGGATCGAGGAGGGCTGGCCCACCATCTGGCCACCGCTCGGACGTCCACTCCCTGTTTTTTTCGGCTTCGCGCGTGGTTTCTTCGCCAAATGATCAAGGATGCTCCTCGATGGTCCTCGCCGAAGGAAAAATCCACACGTCCGAGCGATGCCAAGCCATCGGCCCCAGCCCGCGACGGAGCAGCGGGAGCCCAGAGGGCCGCGCGGCGCCCCGGCGCCGCGCTCGGGGCGCGGCTGCTGCCTGATCAAGGGGGGACGCGCGCGCGCCTCCCGGCAGGGAGCAGGGAGGCCCTGGCATTATGTCGGGCGTGTCCCCCTACAGGGGGATTTTCGACAACAAATTAAAAATACCCCCCAAATACTCCAAAAAGGTACAAACATACTCAAAAAACAGTCCCCATATTACTTTTGGACTAATTATGTTTGGATTATTTTTGGGGGTATTCCTTATTTTCGTCGAAAACCCCCCTGCAGGGGGACAGGCCCGGCTTCAGCCTGGCATCCTCACGCCAGCTGTTTTCGGCAGCCCTCGCTGGCTCCGAAGAGGGCCTCTCACCTCGTCGAAGGGCCTCCGGGGGCGCCCGGGCCGTCCCGATCGGCCGCGGGGGGCCGGAGCGGCGGCCCGAGAGCCGACCGCCCCGGCGCCGGGAGGGCGTCACGACGAAGGCCTTCGGCGCTCTGCGGCCTTCGGAGGCACCCCCGCTGGGCCTTTCCCCCTTAGTAGGAGCCGTTTTTTCAGGGCCAAACATGTTTTTTTTTTTGCTTGTTTTCTGGCGCTGAATTTGGGGGTCGGGAGGTTCGATTCCCGGATGGTCTATTTTTTCGCGGGCCTTCGGAGGCACCCCTGCGGGGCTTGCACGAGAAAACGGCTCGGGATGTGAGGAGCCGGTCCGGGGGAGGAGGTCCAGGCCTCTGGGGAGCCGCGCCGTGAGCAGAACTCACGGCGTCGAGCGTCTGGGGAGAGGGGGGGGGGGGATGCAACAGATCGCGCCACTTTTGGTTGAACAAGTCGTGCCGCATGTGGTTTTGCTTTTTCAAATTCGGGCTCTGAAGGGGGCGTCTCAGAAGCCCACCCGGCGTCCAAAGAAGCCTTCTCAGAAGCTTCTGGGGCCCTCTACAGAAGGGGCTCGACCACAAGAAACCTTCCACAAGAAACCCAACCCTGGGACCCCAGGACGTCCATGGATCTTTGGTGTGGGAACGTCGCGCTCTCCATCGCAAAACCATCGAAACCCAAGAAACCCAGGGCACCCTGGAGGCGAGCAGGGTGCTTCTTGGCATGGGTTCCCACTGTGGGGAGGCCCCTGCCCTTCTGCCTTCTTAGGAGGCCGCTTACCCCCCCCCGCGCCACCCCCGTGTCCCTGAGATCCGACGTTGCGAAGAATGGCAACGTCGTAACGCATCGCGACCGGAGCCCTGGGCCCGATCTTCCCGCGCCACTCTTCGAGCCGCATCGGGCCGGGAGGGCCCCGGGGCCCGAAGCTGGGCCGAAAAAAGCCCTGGGTGTGGAGCACCTGCAGCGCCTGGATCAGTGGAGCTCTCTTGCACAGCTGTGCTCTCGAGCTCGGGCCTCTTTCTTCTCGTTCGTCGTCGTCGTTCGTTCGTTCGTCGTTCGTCCTCCCCTCCACGGCCACACAGGTAAACTCCTGGAGGAAGGAGGCGAAAGCCTCCTGTCCCTCGCAGCTCCTTGGTGCAAGAGCCAGGGCACGCGTGCCACTTTCGGCGGTGGACAAACCTCCCTTTAATAAACCTCCCCTCAGTGAAAGCGGCCTGGGACCGAAACCGACGCACCTGGACCCGCAAAGACGACGGCCTCGACGCCCTCCCGCGCACCGAAAAGACGGCCACTTCGCTCATTGACGTGTCAGGGCAGGAGGCCTGCCCACCCCCGACGCTCGTGATTGCGCGCCCCCCGACTGCCACGTGTGCGAGTTGTACACGTTCGGCTCGGTCTGCACCTCGGCGCAGGCCGTGCGGACGCCCGCCTGCGTGGCCGCCTCGGCGCTTGGGGGCCGCTCCGCTGCCGCCGCCGCGGCCCTCGCGGCCTCCGCGGCCTCTCGGGGGCCCCCTCCATAGAGCCGTGCGGCGACGGGCCGCGCGAGGGCCTCGACGCGCCCTGCGATCTCGCCGCGCGGCCCGGCCCTCCCTCGGATCCTGGCGCCGCAGCTCTTCTACACCGGGCATCTTCGCCGGCTTTCGAGCCCGGGGCCCTCCTCACAGCTCCATCCGGCTCGAGACATGAAGGGAGAGGACGGGGCCCGGGGCTCCGGTCGTGACTTTTTGGTACGTGTTGTGATCTGTTCGCAACGTCGGATCCGAAGGCTGCAATGTCCTGGGATCCTGGATGCCCCAGTCGCCCGAGACGCCCTCGGAGAGCGTCTCCCGCGCAGCGAGATCGTGCGGTGGCCCCGAAGCCAACTCGCTTGGGTTGGGTCGGGCATGTCCTCCTGCAGGCGGGCTTTGGAAGAAAGATCGAATATTGTCAAGAGATACTGACATACTTCAAAGTAGTCAAAGAAGCAAGGAACATCGTCCCCAGACGTTTCTATTCTTCAGTATTCCTCCTGTAGAGGACATGTCCGCCTAACGCCAAGGCGAGAACCCCACCTTTAAGAGGAGCCGTCCTCCACATTCGAACCTGCTGCGATCTTTGAAAGCCAATGTGCGCGGCGCCACAGTGAGAGCCCGACTTTGAAGACAACCAGCTCCATCTCTATACCTCTCGCAAGCCCGGATGACGAGTGCTCGCGGCGCCAGGGCGAGAGACCAATTCTGCCCCCCCCCCCCCCCCTCGATCGCATATGTCATAAGCATGTCCCAGGCCAAACGCCAGCCCCGCCTTTGAGTATTCCTCCTGCAGAGGGACATGCCCCGAGGTGGCCCCGAAGCCAACTCGCTTGGGTTAGGTCGGGCATGTCCTCCAACAGGCGGACTTTGGAAGGAAAAACTAAATAGTCAGCAAGTCAGACGGAGGAGGAGGAGGAGGAGGAGGAGGAGGAGGAGGAGGAGGAGGAGGAGGAGGAGGAGGAGGAGGAGGAGTAGGAGGAGGAGGAGGAGGGGGAGGAGGGGGAGGAGGGGAGGAGGAGGAGGAGGAGGAGGAGGAGGAGGAGGAGGGAGGAGGAGGAGGAGGAGGAGGAGGAGAAGGAGGAGGAGAGGAGGAGGAGGAGGAGGGGGAAGGGGGGGGGGAGGGGGAGGGGGATGGGGAGGAGGAGGGGGAGGAGGAGGAGGGGGAGGGGGAGGGGGAGGAGGAGGAGGCGGAGGAGGAGGGGGAGGAGGAGGAGGAGGAGGGGGAGGAGGAGGAGGAGGAGGAGGAGGAGGAGGAGGAGGAGACTATTCTCGACTGTTCCTCCCGCCGAGGGGCAAGCTCGACTTGCCCCCCCTGGCGGGCCCTCCGCGGGCCTCCGCCGCCGCCCGCCGCAGGCCCGCGTTCTCGCGCCGCAGGCCCTGGAGGCTCCGGCCCGCCTCGCCGAGCCGGCCCTCGAGCGCCGCCGCGGCCTCGCGCTCGAGCGCCAGGCGCTCCAGGGCGTCGTCGAGGCGCGCCGCGGCGCCCTCCTCGGAGGACCCAGTGATGCTGCTCCCATCGTACTTGAGGGACCACATCCCGCAGATATTTTCGAGCACCCGGAGAAGTGTCGAAAGAGTGTCGAGAGAGTGTCGGACGAGTGCCTCCCAGGGCCCGACACGTGAAACCCTCGAGTTTCGGCACTTTCTTTCTGGTGCTCGAAATGGTGTCTGGTGATCTAGGCTAAAGTAGGTTGGAACATCATACAGGACCCAGGCCCCCTCGGGCAAGGAGCGCGTCACAGCGGGAGGTCCTTCGGCACCCTCGGCTCCCGCCGGCCCTTACACAGGCCCTCGGGACCGTCCAGAAGCGATTCGGGAGGAGAAGCCGGTGCAGGGGAAGGGGTTGAGACCCAGACCCCCGACGTCATGATTTTGCATTGCGTCGGCCCCCAGAGGTCCCGACCCTTTCCCCATGACCAACTTTGCATCCTGAGTGGTTTTTTGACGCTCCCGAGGCCCGGTCGGGGCCCCCAGAGGCCGAAAACAGCAACAAACCTCCTGCCGTGATTTTTTCGTTGCTCGAGGGGGTCTGGGGACATCTGAGGGCTGGCGTTATGAACAGATCATGGTGTCGGGGGTCTGGGGAGCGCGCAGGGGTGGCCCTGCGCAGGGGGTGGCCCGCGGCGCCTGCCGACATGCGTGCTCTTGCGATGCGGCGGTGGCGGCCTGCGTGCTCTGGTCTGGCCCGCCCCCGCGCCCTCCGCTGGAGGCAGCGCACCAAGGGCCCCTCCAGCGAAGGGTCCCGCTTCCGCGCGGCCGATCTCCGCGCCGAGGCGCCTGTCGCGGAGCCCGCCCGGCCTGGGCGGCTGCGCCGCCTCCGTCTGCGCCGCCGACTCCGCGAGGGCCGGCGGCGGGTCCGTCTGCGCCCAGGCCGGCTGCGACGCGGTGGCCGACGTCTGGGTCCCAGCGGCCTCGGCCTCTGCGGACGCCTGCGATCCAGTGTGCGCCGATGAGGGCGAAGCCTGCGCGGCCGCGTCAGAGCTCGCTGGTCGACGGAGGATGCCCTCGCCGGTGGTCGGTTCTGTCTCTGTGCTCGCGTCCTGCGCCTCACCCCGGCCTCCAGCTTGGCAGCCAACGGCGGCGCTCGCTGGCGACAGGCGCGCCTGCGTGGCCGCCACTCTGGTCGCCCACACGCCGCCAGCCTGGGTGCTCGCCTCGCGCAGCCGCACGGCGGGCGTCTGCGCTGCCGGCATCTGCAGGGTCTGCACGCCGACTGCCCTGGATGCAGAGGCGGAGCGCTCCCGGGGCAGCGGCAGCGGGGGCTCTTTCGAGGCCGTGCCCGCTCTGCCCGCCGTGGCGGGCTTGAGCGCTGCGAGCACAGCCTCCACCCAGCCGATCCTGGTGGACGGACAGCCCCTCGCGTCTGCCACTGCTGCGCAGCTCGTCCCAGCTGCGACGGCCTGCGGGGCCACCACCTCCGCGAGCAGCGCCAGCAGAACCTCCAGTCGCGCCGCCCGCTCCGCGAGCTCGCTCTTCAGCCCGTCCTGCGGCTGCACGGCGGGCCTGCCCGAGCGGCCTGAGAGGCCCCCCGGAGCCTGCAGCAGCATCGCGGCCAGCTGGTGCACGCAGGCCTCTGGGTCCGCGAGGTCCCTGCGCCCCTGTGCCAGCCGCTCATGGCCCAGGTGCTGCTGGAGCCTCGCCGTATCCTGCCCGACCAGCCTCGCGAACGTGCCCGCGTGGTCCCAGCCGGCGAACAACGGGTGGCACATGGTCACCGCGCGCGCCGCGGGCCGGCTCTGGAAGACGAGACGACGACATCAGCACGCCCCTTCGGAGGTCCGCGCGGATTTCTCGTACCGGCGCTGGACACACCGCTCTCCTGGCGCGCGGAGCGCGCTGGGGGCGCCGCCAAAGGGGGAGGCCCAGCGCCGTCCCAAGAGATCCGTGCGGACCTCCCACACAGTACCCATCGGTCGGAAGAAGTAGGCAGAACCGGGAAGTAGGAAGGCGTTGGAAGTAGATTGGGTCTCCGCCCGCCCCCTTAAGAGGAGGGAGGAGGGGCAGCCACTCGATCATTGAAGTAGGAAGGCGCCTAAAGTGACTTGGAATCTGGGAATCCATACACACTTACTTTCAACGACCGATGGGTATGCTTATGCCGTTTCTTCCTCTTCGACCATGGGCACCGCCGGCGCCGCATGCCGGCCCGCCGGAGCCGCAGCGGCGGCTGCCGTGGCGGCGGCCGCGACGAGGAGGGCTTCCGATCCTCGCCGTGGGTCTCCAGCGGCCGCTCGGGACGATGCGGACCCCCTCGGCTGCCCTCCACGAGGCGCAGCTGCTAGCAGGCACCCTGGGGCGAGAGAGCCCCATATCTCCGAAGTCCTTATTTCTTCAATGCGGGGCCCCCAGGAGTCCCGACCCTGTCCCCGGCAACGGCTTTTCATCTCCAATCGTGTGTTGAAGGCACCAGGGCCCGGTCAGGGCCCCTGGAGGCCGAAAACGGCCCAAAGCCTCCCATCCGGATTTTTTCACGCGAGGCAACCTCCGAGAACCAGCGCGACGTGCGAAAACCCCCCGCCGGCGGCGGCGCCCGCGGCCGTGGCGGTGCCGCTGGGCGCGGCTGTCGCCACTGCGAGGAGCGCGCCGCTGTGCCTCGGGGTCCTCAGCTGCGCCTGGCCGATCAGCGGTCGCGGGCTGGACTCGCGCATGGTGCCCGCTGTGCCTCGCGCGGCGCGGGGCACGGCACGTTCTTCTCCTCAGCCTCGCCCTCGTCGTCGTCGTCGTCGTCGTCCTCCTCCTCCTGCTCCTGCTCCTCCTCCTCCTCCTCCTCCTGCTCCTTCTCCTCCTCCTCCTCCTCCTCCTCCTCCTCCTCTCCTCCTTCCTCCTCCTCCTCCTCCTCCTCCTCCTCCTCCTCCTCCTCCCTCCTCCTCCTCCTCCTCCTCCTCCTCCTCCTCCTCCTCCTCCTCCTCACAATTACACAATATGAAAATACTCTCCCACTTCCCCTGATGGCGTCCCGAAGATATCCGACCCCCCCCGCGTACTGTTTTTTACACACAGGATTCCCGGGAAACGGGTTTTCGCCTGCGTTTTTTTTCAAAATGCTGCTCTCGCTGAGGCGCCGGCTCATTTCTGCTCCCGAATCGTTCCGAATCGTGCTCCCGCTGCAGCGTGGGCCTCATTTTCGGATCGGTGTTTGGCCTCCGTCGTTCAGGATGGCGTTCTCGCCCCAGCGCGGGCCTCTTTCTCGCGCGCCCATCCGCCCGCCACCACCGCGCCGCGCACCACCACCCACCCACCCACCACCACCACCAGCACCCACCCACCAGCACCAGCACCAGCACCAGCACCAGCACCAGCACCAGCACCAGCACCAGCACCAGCACCAGCACCAGCACCAGCACCAGCACAGCACCATCACCAGCACCAGCACCAGCACCAGCACCAGCACCAGCACCAGCACCAGCACCAGCACCAGCACCAGCACCAGCACCAGCACCAGCACCAGCACCAGCAGCACCAGCACCAGCACCAGCACCAGCACCAGCACCAGCACCAGCACCAGCACCAGCACCAGCACCAGCACCAGCACCAGCACCAGCACCAGCACCAGCACCAGCACCAGCACGAGCACGAGCACGAGCACGAGCACGAGCACGAGCACGAGCACCAGCACCAGCACCAGCACCAGCACCAGCACCAGCACCAGCACCAGCACCAGCACCAGCACCAGCACCAGCACCACCACCCACTACGCACGTACCTAGCCACAGGTCCGCTACGACACGCGTCCGCGGATAGAGAAAATCAGCGCCATGGTAAGGGATGGGAGGGAGGGGTAGGACGTCAGATATGACGCGAGCGCACCTAGCTTGTCCTCCTCCCCCTCCCCCTCCTCCCCCTCCTCCCCCTCCTCCTCCTCCCCCTCGCCGGACCTGCCGCCCTGCCGCGGCGGCCCGGGCCCGCTAGCGGCCCGCCCGGCGAGGGTGAGGCATCGGGTGCGGCGCGGGAGCCGAGGGCTGCGGCCGACCCAGACCCCCTCTCGGGTGCGGCCTAACCGACCCCTAGCAATCCATCCCCTGGGGACGGCGTGCCAGGGGTCGGTCAGGCCGCCCTGACCATCGGGTGCGGCCCGGGAGCCGAGGGCTGCGGACGACCTAGGCTGAGACTGAGACCGAAAGGGGGCGGAACACTTCCCTGATCCTGATACTACCTTCGCGCGCTGCACAGAGAAAGGGAAGAAGGGGGGAGGGAGGAGGGGAGGGGAAGGAGGGGGGAGGAGACGACAACTCAACCTCAGGTGCCGCTCCTCCCGCGCCCTCGTTGTGCTTCAAAGCTATCGCACATGCGGCCGTCCCCAATTTCCGTAAAGTTTCCTGGCTTGGCGCCTGCTGTTGTTGGCCCCCCTTCGGGTGATAAAAGAATCTCGATGGGCGTTTTTTCGCTAACTTCGGCCTCTGCGGGCCCTTACCAGCCCTTGGGATCACCCAAAAAGGACTCAGGATGAGAAACCTGTGGAAAGGGTCGAGACCCCTGGGGTCGGCGCCGTGAACAAGTCAAGACTTCTGGGGTCTGGGGAGGGGGGGCGCCCTGAGCTGGCATGGCCTCGAGGGGGGCGGTGGGGGGATGAGTGAGGCTGCAATCCACCGACCCTGAGTGAGGCTGCAATCCGTCGACCCTGTCGGCGTGATGGGGGACGCTGTTCCGTTTGACTTGTCGTCGTCGTCTTCGTCGTCGCCGCCGTCGTCGTCGTGGTGTGAAGCTCCCTCGCGTCCGGCGCAGCGTCACATTCAGGCTCAAACGTGGGGGGAGCCCGGCGCCTCCGTGGGCCCGCAGGAGACCGGCCTCCCCACCGCGCTCCGCACGGCACCAGCGCGCCACCCATTTCTCAGACCCTGCAGGCCATGCAGAGCAGCGGCCCCGTACACGTGTACTGCGGGGGCCCTGACCCCAAAGGAGCCCTAGATAAGGAAAGAGGCCCCCTTTTTTTCCATAAGTGAACTTCGAATTCCCATCGAAAACACATGGAACATCCAAGGCACGCTGCGAAGCACTAAAAAAGGAACACCGAGCCCCTCCCCAGCCAAAAGGGTTCCTGCTTCGGGGCCCCGACTGGTAGGGCGTTCGGGAGCCTCGAGCCCGCAGGCTCCCCCCCCCTCTCGGCGGCCAGGGCCGAGGAGCCCGAGCCTTCGCCAGGGGCAGGTGTGCGGGCCGCAGCGTATTTTTTTGGAGCTGGGCAGCAGTCCGATGGGGGCGTCGGGCCGACCCCCACAGGAGAGCCCAGAATCGAATCGATAAGTCGGATCGGCGATCGAAATGAATCGCATCGGCGGAAATCGGCAGCCCAGTCGGGAGAAGTCGCATCGGCGGAAATCGGCAAGCTTGTATGCGTCCAGTGAGAAATCGGAGCCCAACTCGGAATCCGAAGTCGAATCGAATCGAAATCGGAAGCCATCGAAGTCGAATCGAACCGAATCGGAGGAATCGAAACGAGTCCTGCCCCCAGCGATCACACCGCACTGGACCAACAGATAGATCCAGTCGGGGCCCTGAAGAAGGAACCCTTTTGGTTGGGGAGGGGCTCCGCGTTGCTCAAGTGTTTCACAGCCTGCCCCAGGTTTTCCTTATGTTTTCGCTGGGGAATCGAAGCTCAACTTGTGGAAAAAAGGAGCCTCGTTCCTTATTTAGGGTTCCTTAGGTCAACGCCCCGACTGTGCCGTCGCGGATGGCACATCCGACTCGCCTGCGGCTGCTGCTGCTGCTGCTGCTGCTGCTGCTGCTGCTGCTTATCTCGCCCCCTCTTCTGCCGTTCCGTACCTACTCTGGCCCAAGCATTCGAACCAAGTCGGTTGGCGAGCACACTCTCTGCCCGATGCGTGGCCTGCAGCTCGTGAGTCTTTGGCATTTGCTGCAGCGGGGCCGCGCGTTCTTCATACTGGTGCTCTGTGCGCGTCGTGGGCATCGGCTGCTGGCGAGCACCTCGCCATCGCAGCACCAAAAGCGCTCTCGAGCCACAGGGCCTCACCGAGAGATCGGAGTGGTACATCAGGCAGAGCATATTCGTGGCCAGCCTCTACGGGATGCTCGCGCCTCCTGGTGGGCACGTATGCGTGCAATCGTTCAACGAGTCGAACGGCACAAGAACCGGAACGGTACAGTACACACTCAGCAGTTGACCGAGAGCGCCACGAAGCTTGTGTGTACTGCCCCTGCTGGTATCCATGAGCTGCTTCCTCCAAGCCACGGTGCTTGGTCGGAATGTTTGGCGAAGCTGCCGTATTGAGATCAAATATCCTTGGAGCCACTGACGGGGCTGTGCAAGGTAGAAGATCGTGGGTCCGAGCGTGGCCGTGCGAGGGCCACCGGGCAACCGCTTCGAGAACCTCAGTATTGGACAGGGCCCACGAGTGCGCTGGGCATCGTGCTCAAGAGCATCAACGCAGAAGCCAGCTGAGATCTATGGATTCCACTGTTGCAGCAGGTGCGCGGCTCGACCCGTGGAGGCAGTGGACAAGAAAGTTGAGAAGTGGCATCGGCTATGACATGCAGATCCTTTGACGGCGGAGAAGTACTTAGATGAAATGTCCACAGTGCGCGAGCTGGCGAAGGTTGAACAGTTGGAACCACTGGCGCTCGCAAATCGAAATCGTGCCCTGGCTCGTATGAAACCATGGGCAGGCTTAGGTTGAGACCAACTGTCACCAATTGGCTTCGAAGGTTTTACCTGATGCTGGACTGGGCCAGTTATGCCGATTATATGTTCTTGTTGAAGACATTTTGTAATGGCCATGGCAACTCATGGTCGCCATGAATCGTTTACTTTGGGAAAAAGACAGGTCGCGATCGACTCGTTGGACTGATTTACATGGCCAACCAGTTGTGGCGCGTTGCTCGCGAGGACCAGATGCGTGCATGGCTGGCCCAGTCAGCGCCGCGCTGGGACGCACCATTGGCAAGGAACAGTGCATTGCGAGTGGAACCACACAAAGCATCCGAATCTGCACGCGCTTCGGGCGTTGCCAGGCATATTTCGTACGGAAAAGTCGGTGTGTCACGACATTGATCGGGATTCGTGCCGAATATGCTGATCCAATGCTGGTCCTCCCGAGGCAATGCCTGGGTCAATGGCTGCAAGTGTGGATCACAGAGCCGTCTATTCGAGCAGGAGTGTGGCCTCAGGTGGTGCAGCAATTGCGTGAACTTCCTGAGTCTCGTCGGTCGCGACATATCTGCGGTCTAATGCTGATGCAAGTCTGCTGGCATCCTTGAACACCTTCGGAGCGGGAACTTCCAAATGATGATGGGCACGGGCTGCATGCGTGGAAGCTCGACGATGGCGCTTTGTGCTCGTTTGACCAGGCGGGCGATCTACTTCGAGAGTTAAAGGGCCATTTGCTTTGTGGCAGTGGCGTGAGGCTTCGGCTTTACACTATGGGAGTGTGTTAGAAGACGGTGCCGACTTGATCAGTCGGCGACGATTTACCAGTAGCCTACAGCACGTGCACAAAGAATGGCAACTCGCTGAACTCATGGTGGCGATGCGGTAGGCGGAATGTGGGCAAATCAGCGCAAGTATGCGGTCAACATCGGCGATGGCGACACCTGTGATCGGTGCTTCGAGGCTCCCGAGTCCGACTTCCACAGGCATTGGCGATGCTCATGTAATCACGGCGGCACTTCGTTTGAGCAGTTGCAGGAGCTTCCTCCAGAAACAGTTGCAGATCACGATGCACGTGCTGCTTCTGCAGTCGTGGTATCATCCCAGCTCGGTGGATAAGATTTTCTCCATACAACGCGTGTGAGGATTGGCCAGGAGGTCCATATTGTGGAAGGCCAGCCAAGTCTGGGCCACGGCACCGCCGAGTGCCCGCGGTATGCCCTCCAGACACTCACGACGTGCGCTTATGGGGAGTTGGCCTCGGAGATGCTTCTGGAGGTCCAGACACTCACGACGTGCGCTTATGGCGAGTTGGGCTCGCAATGTGTGTGTGTGTGTGTGTGATATCTTGTATGTGTGTGATATCTTGCTTCACCCCCCTCACGGTCGGCCCTTACATCCCAAGGTCGCTCGCAGGAGGGGTTCAGACCGTGCCTGAGGGCCAGCTCACGGCGCTCGAGCTCGCCATTCGCGGCTCGTGGGGAGTGCTGAGCTTCGTCGCAGGTTGTGCCGAAGCGTGTCGAAAGTGGTGTTCGCAACTATGTCGTCATCCAGTCGGGTGTCTTGCAAATGTGTGGAGGCTGACTGGTCGCCATCTTAAGGATCAACAGCGATCGCCAGTCGATATCACCGTCATGCATATATCATCACATTTGAATGCAGATGAAGTTTTCAACACAACGGCTGCACAAGTGGATGGTCCAAAGTAACCTTGTTGTGGATCACCTTGCTGGCCGTGCAGCAGAGGCAGCTCGAGTATCAGCAGTCGAAAGACACAGGGAGTTGCTTGCCTGAAATAAGGCGCTCTTGGTTCGACGTCGGCTGTTGAGAGTTAGGTTGAGGTCAATCCACAGCGAGTCTGAGAAGAGGGCTGCAGCAGCTGCAGCCTCTCATGCAGCACGTGAGTGTCGCGCAGGCCCCCGAGGCCGCCAACCTTTTGCCTCTTCCTCCGCCTCTTCCTTCTCCCGCTCCTTCTATCGTTGCACGCGTCGCGGCCGCACACACCCTTGCTGAGAGCGGTAACTCGTGGGTTAGGTGCAGACGGACGCCGCTTTAGACACTCCGTCCGATTGGCTGACAACTGATTGCAACGCGTTAGTTTCCATTGACGGTAGCGTGAGGGTCCAAAGGGGTTGTCACATGCATATCGCTGCAGGTTGGGCCCACCCCTCGCATGCCCTAATGTATTACCATGCTCTCGGACTCTGGTACTGCAATGTGTGCGACTTTTTTTGACAGTCCCAGCCCAGGGGATTAGGAGCCCCTTGTAAGTTACCAGTTTCCAGAGCAGCTCGCGAGTACCTTCTCAGGATTGGGTGTGGCGAGTTTTCCAAGTGCAAGTAGTCTGAGCCTCGAGCAATGGCTTGAGCAGTGGAGTTTTATTTGATCGCTAGGCGATGGCTGTAATCTCTGCAATCCTCCCCATCCTTCTCCTTTTAATCCTCATTTTGCGTTGCACCAGCGTGGGCTAGCGAAGGCCGTGGCGTTTTCAAGCCTCCGTCCTCCTCCTCCTCCTCCTCCTCCTCCTCCTCCTCCTCCTCCTCCTCCTCTATCCTCCTCCTCCTCCATCCTCCTCCTCCTCCTCCTCCTCCTCCTCCTCCTCCTCCTCCTCCTCCCTCCTCCTCCCCCTCCTCCCTCCTCTCTCCCTCTCCTCCCTCCTCCAATCTCCTGCTGCTGCTCCTCTCTCCTCTCTCCTCGCTCCTCTCTTCTCTCTCCTCTCTCCTCCGCCTCCCCCTCCTCCTCCTACTCCTCCTTTCTTTCTTCCCCTCCTTTTCCTCCTCCTCCTCCTTCCCTGTCTTCCTCCCTCCCTCCCTCCCTCCTCCTCCCTCCTCCTCTCTCCTGCTGCTGCTGCTCCTTTTCCTCCTCCTCCTCCTCCTTTTCTTCCTGCTCTCCCCCCTCTGTCCTCTGCTCCCCGGCAGCGCAAACAGAGGCCGCGAACACCGCCCCGCGTGGGGCCCGACGGCAGCAGGGCGGCGGGCGGGGCCCCGGCCCGCGAGGGGCACCAAGGGCGCCGACGCCGGCGGCGCAGCCGCCACGGCGGCCGGCACCGGCTGTGCAGGCCTCGCCCCCGGGGCCAGGCCAACGGCGACGTGGCTCAACGTGGATGCCGGGAGCCGAACGGCAGGAGATGGCGAGCCACGCCTTCCCACATCTCCCCATCCGCGGAGCGATCGAGCGAACACGACACAGCGAATTTGTAGGGAAGCGCGAGCCGCGCGCTGCCGCACTGCCGAAGCCCACGTCGCCGCCACCCGCATCGCCGTTGGCCCGCCTGCGGTGGCCCGGGCCTTCGTGGGCCCCGGGAGCGGCAGGGCCGTTTTTTTGTGTTGCTGCTGCTTGTTCTGTTTGTTTGAACCGATTTTCAGACGAACCGCTTCTGGAACGTGGACACGGTAAATCCGCCACTCCGTGCCGCAGGGCACGGATGGGGGCGCGCCCTCAGGTCCTCTGCCCAGTCTTCTGAGCCTCAATCCTCACTCCTGAAGGGTCTTCCAGGGGCCTGGAACCCACATGGACAACTTTGGCGGAGCTTCTCGCGTCGTGCCGCAAGGACTTCTCGCGCGCCCTCCTCGGAGCCAAGATGGGCCCCAAGACGGGCCACGAGGGCCCCAGGAGACTCCCGACACGGTCCAAGAGGGTCCCGGGTCGCCGAACGATCGCCTCAAGACGCTCAAAGATAGCCCCCAGACGGCCCAAGAGACCTCCAAGAGGCCCCAAAGAGGCCCCCAAGAGGTTCCCAAGAGGCCCCGAAACCGTCCCCGAGAGCGCTCCGACGAGACCTCACGAAGCGTCCGTGATATCTCTGACCCACAACCCACGCACGGTCGCGGGATGGGCCCGATGCCGCTAGACTTAGGTCGGGCATAGCCCCCTACAGGCGGATTTTGACAGAGAGTAGGAAATAGACAACAAATCATCAAGCATGGTCCGAAGACCACGAGAGATCGTCACCACACTTCAAACACAAACCTATTCTTGACTATCCCCCCTGGAGGGGGACGTGCGCGACTCGACACTAGATATGAACGGCTCCCTGAAGCGGGGGCGAAAACGGCCCCGAGGTTGGAGCCGGAACCTCGGGGGCGACGGTGGGGGCGACGAGCCCAGGGGAGAGCCACACGCGAATCCCAGGGCGCCGATGGTCCAGGCCTTCGGCGAGGCGCCCGGCCGACTGCGTGTGATGCCCGCCCCTGGGCTGCTTGCCTTACGTCGGGCGTGTCCCCCTACAGGGGGATTTTCGACGAAAAATAAAACATACTCCAAACATGCTCCCAAATGGCCCCAAAATACTAAACAAATAATCCCAGGCTGTTCTTTCGACTATTTTTGAACATTCACCCTGTAGAGGGACAGGCCCGACTTAATGTTTGCCCCTGCACGTCGCCCCCGAGAAACGGAATGTGAAAAAGAAGAAGGCGGCGAAACCGGCGGTAAACAAGAACGGCCCTGTCGTTTCCAGGGCCCGCCAGGGCCGGGGAGGGGGTCAGGGGCAGGAGCAGGATGCGGATGACGGTGGCGGCGATGATGGCAGTGAGGATTGGCGGTGAGCGAGGGAGGAGGGGGAACTAGGACAGGAGCAGGGATTTTTATCAGAAGCCCTCGCGCCTTCTGTGAAATCTCCTGTGCCTTCGGGGAAGGCGCACAAGACTTCTCAGGAGGCCGGGGGGCTTCCGAGCCTTCTGAGGAGGCCCGCCCCTTCAGAGTGCTCCTCCTCCTCCTCCTCCTCCTCCTCCTCCTCCTCCTCCTCCCCCTGGAGGAGGGGGGTGTTCCCTCTCGGGGGGAGGTGGCGCGCCGAGCAAGTCGGCGGGCCCGAGGGCCTCCGGCTCCTGGCGCCGGAGGCGCTCTCGAGTCGCTGCTCCGAGAGAGAGAGAGAGCGCTGGCGGCCTGAGGTTGAGAGGCGTCGCCAAGAGGGGCACCAGACTCGGGATTGATGGTGGTGATGACGACGACGATGCTGCTGCTGCTGATGATGATGATGATGATGATGGCGATGGTGATGGTGATGGTGATGATGATGATGATGATGCTGATGATGCTGGTGATGGTGATGGTGATGCTGCTGATGCTGCTGATGATGCTGCTGATGATGCTGCCGATGAGGATGATGCTGATGATGCTGCTGATGGTGGTGGTGATGATGACGATGACGATGACGATGACGATGACGATGACGATGACGATGATGATGATGATGATGATGATGATGATGATGATGATGATGATGATGATGATGATGATGATGATGATCTTCTGAATCGGCCCCCGCAGCTGGAGGCCGCCCAAACAGGGTCCGAGTAGATGCGATCGGAGGATCGCGCCGCATCGCTGATGCGTCGGCGACGTCGGCGACGCATCGGCGACGTCTGCATGGAGAGGTCGTGCGGCCCAGACTCTTGGATGCACTCGACTCGTCCGACCCGATACTTCGACCGCATTTCGGCGACCTGGAGGCGCAAGCCACGGTAGGAGAGCGAGAGCTGGTTGAGCGCGAATTCACGTGGGGGCGATCAATGGGGGGGCAGCGAGGGCTGCACGAAAGGGGCCCTTCAGGGCCCCTAAAAGGGTCCTCTAGCAGAGGAAGACAAAACGGCATAAACATAAACTTTTGGAGGTCCGCGAGGATTTCTTGGATCTAGGCTAGAACTCTCTCCTTGGCGCGCGGAGCGCGCCAAAGGCGGCGCCGGAGGCGCCGCTAGGGAAGCCCAGCGCGGATGCAAGAAATCCGCGCGGAGCGTCGAACATTTATGTTTATGCCGGTTTTTGTTCTTCGATTGAGGGCCCCAGCGGGGGCTTTTTAGGGCCCGAACAGGGCACCTTTCTCCGCCCCCAATAATCGTCCCCCCATGAATTCGCGCCCAAGCTGGGGGTCCCAAAATGGTGCCAGGACAGACCGTGCGGCGACCTCGGAGTCCCTGAAGACCTCGCCGCACGGTCCGTCACACCGCAGGGCTTTGGAACCCCAGAGGCCTCCCGTCGCCCGGGACGTCCTCGGAAAGCGGCCCAAGGCCCCAAACCATGCGCCCACCCCGAATCCCCACTGACTCACCACATGGAGAGGTCACAGCACCGTGGGGGGGGCCTGGGGTTACGCCCCCGAGTGGTTTCGGGCCGTAACTCGGGCCTCCGGCGGCCGCTCGGGACGATGCGGGCACCCCCGCCACGCTCTCGGCAAGGTGCATCTGCTGGCACGCATTCCGAGGCAGGAGAATCCCCAGGAACCGACGATGACGTCCAGAAACGCCGACGTCCCGCTAGCTGACCCGGGATCGAGGCGCCCGCGCGGGCCTCGGAGGCGCCGGCGGCGCCACCGCGGCAGGCGCTGCCGCGGTGGGCGGCGCCGCGGCAGGCGCGGCGGGCCGCGGCTGCGGTGCCGCCCGCGGGGCGCTGTCGTCGTCGCCGCAGCACGCCTCCTTCCTGAGAGGCGGGTGCTCGGCGGGGCGGG